TCATTCCTTTTTGCGCTTTTTTCTCTGATCTTGGTTTCTCATTTTATTTCATTGAGTTGATCTTCGACTTCTGATATTCTTTCTTCTGCTTGGTCAATTCGGCTGTTGAAACTTGTGCCTGCTTCGTGAAGTTCTCGTATTGTGTTTTTCATCTCCTTGAATTCATTCATATTCCTCTATAAGTTATCCATTCTTGTTATCATTTCCTCGAATCTTTTTTCAAGGTTCTTAGTTTCTTTGCATTGATTTAAAACATGTTCTTTTAGATCAGAAAAGTTTCTCATTATCCACCTTCTGAAGTCTAATTCCATCATTTCGTCACAGTCATTCTCCGTCCAGCTTTGTTCACTTGCTGGTGAGGAGTTTTGGTCCTTTCTAGGAGGTGAGGTGTTCTGGTTTTGGGTGTTTTCCTCCTTTTTGCGCTGGTTTCTTCCCATCTTTGTGGATTTATCCACCTGTCGTCTGTGTAGTTGCTTACTTTTCAGTTGGGTCTCTGAGTGGACACCCAGATTGTTGATGATGAAGTGTTTCTGTTACTTGGTTTTCCTTTTACCAGTCTAGCCCCTCCACTGTACAACTGCTGAGGTCCACTCCAGGCCCTGCCTGTCTGGGGTGCACCTATAGCAGCTGCGGAACAGTGAGGGATGCTACCAGTTTCTTTTTCTTCTATCTTTGTTACAGAATGATGCCTGCCAAATGTCAGTCTTTTGGATATAGAGGGTTCAGGGAGCTTCTTGAGGAGACAGTCTGTACTTTATAGGAGCTCAATTGCTGAGCTGTGAGCTCTGTTGTTAATTCAGGGCTGTTAGGCTTCTACGTTTAATTCTGCTGCAACAGAACTCATAAACAAAACCGTTTTTTTCTCAGATGCTCTGTCTCGGGGGGGTTGGGGCTTTCTTTGTGAGTGTCCGTTGTGCTGTCCTGCCCAGCTAGGAGACAGTCTAGTCACTATTTGCCTGCTGAGGCTCCGCCCTGCTGGTGTGAGGTTCGCCCCGTTGCTGCAGGCTCTGCCCTGCTGCTGCATTCTCCGCCCTACTGCCATGGGCTACGCCCTGCGGTGGAGTCTCTGTTGTAGTGGGTTGCCTCAGCAGCAGCAGGCTGCGTCAGTCATGGTCGTTTACCTCAGTAGGGGCGGATTGCCTCGGTAATGGCGGATGCCCCTCTGCCACAGAGCTGCACCGTCCTGGGTTCAGCTGTGCTCGCGCCCGGAGCGTTGGAATCGCCATTTTGTTTGTCCCACTGCGCTGCCCCAAACGCTGCTTCCCTGGAATCTCCTGGGCTGGCTCACTGTCCATGTCCCGCTCAGTCTCAAGTCTCAGATTGCCGGTTTAACAGGGCACCCAGACCAGTGCTCTTTGTCGGAGCGCTGTGTAGCGCCGCTGCGCTACAGTGCTGGCCAAAACCTCTGCCTTGCGTCCCGCATCTCTTTTATACCTGGGAATTTCCTCGTTCTGTGGGCAACAAAGATCCGTCTGGAAATGTGGCTCTGACTCACCCTCCGCACATTCACTGAGAGCTTCAATCCTGGGTTGTTCTCACCACGCCATCTTCAGTCCTCCCCCACACAGTGATTCTTATGCATACTATGGTACCACCTTTTCTAAACTAAAAATGTTTGTTTTATAATTCTCACTGGAAAATCTTGAAACAATCTTTAGAATATTTTTCAAGTCACATTTAATTTTTTAGTTTTTTGTACTTGGTGATGTAATAGTCATGTGAAAATGTGAAAAGAAATAGCATGAGAAGAGAATTCTATTATTAGAGGTATTCTAGAAACTTAGAGGTAGATGTTCACCTTGCCTGCTTCTCTAGATGTTGCCTATCACATCCCCCTTTTAAAATGAACATAATTCACCAGTCCTAAGACAGGTCTCAAAGCAGATTGGGAGTTCGGTAAGAATTTGTTGTATTGATTTAAATGAAATAAACAATTGAATATTTAGAATGATCTTTGCCTTGTCATTTCATATAAGTGATGAACTTACAGTGTGTGATTTCAAATTTGTGATGTGAATTATTTTAGTTTCTCAACTCCCTATAGTTTTGGAGTGTGAGAGAATGTGTGCATTTGAATATCAAAATCCCTTCCTTTCTACTGGGAATTTGGTCGTTTAATAACTTGAATGTATCCCAAGATTCAGGTATATATTGACTGTGTTGCACTGTACTAATTATCATTAGCACGGTCCTCAGACCCAAGGAGCTTAATAAAATTATTTGTATGTTATTTTTTGTTATTGAAGTTAATTGTTTTCATATTTAAGAAATTATTATTTTCAACCTGAGAAAGCTGATTGCCAAAAAAAGAAATGATTATTAAAAGATGATTATTCTTGGAAAGGCTGGAGAGGGATAACATGGGAAGAAATGCCGAATAGAGGTGACAGGAGAATGGAAGCAGCACACTACCTTTCCATGTATGTACTACGCAACAATCCTGCATGGTCTGCACATGTACCCGAGAACCTAAAGTACAAAAAAAAGTAATCAAATTTAAAACAAAAACGATTATTCTCAATATCTGTCATCTACTTTCTCTGCTAAGATAGGAAATAAATGGTAGATAGGTAAATAAATGGTAAAATATAGTATTAGAGCCCCTCTACAAAGAAACTGTGGTAATTCCTTTTTAAATTAACTTCCAAATCTGCTTTGTAAATTCAGAAATGTGTAAATTTCATCTTTTTAAAGCAATGAATAATACTTTGCAACTTATATTATGCAGAGTAAAAAGCAGAATAGAAATAACAGGAGTTAATATGAACTTAAAGATGCTCCTTATTTCATTCTTATGCTTCAATGAAGTATATTTTAAGGCTATTTACAATGACATATATTTTACAAACCAGTTTTCAAATGACTGATATGATTTTTCCTTTCTTGAGTTCACTCAAGAACAAAAAGGTTGACAGTGGTGTGGAGAGAAATACAGTGGATTTGCATATCCCATTAAATGGTTATTAAATGTCTTCACTAGTTGAGAATTAATTGTATATTAACAGTTTTTTTGGGGGGGTGGGAATGGAATGTTGATCTGTTAACCAGGCTGGGGTGGAGCAGCGCGATATAAGCTCACTACAACTTCTGCCTGCCGGGTTCAAGCAGTTCTCCTGCCTCAGCCTCCTGAGTAGCTGGGACTGCAGGCACGCACCACCATGCCTGGCTAATTTTTGTATTTTTAGTAGAGATGGGGTTTCACCATATTGGTCAGGCTGGTCTTTAATTCCTGACCTCAGGTGATTCACCATCCTCGGCCTCCCAAAGTGCTGGGATTACAGGTGTGAGCCACCCTGCCTGGCCATTTTAGCAGTTTTTTAAGAGAATTAGAAAACTGTTTCCTCAACTCCAAGATGTTGTCAGTTGTAAAATGTACTCATGTTTTATACTACTAAGAAAAATAAGCCTCTGATTAAGCAACATGCCATCAATTGTAAGATATATACCTATGGGGGAAAAATAAGTAGTGTTTAGCTGAGATACCTCCCTACTTTCTGAAAAACATATCAGGGTTTTATTAGTAAAGGAAAATGGGAGAATGCATATTGGGTGAGAGTTATCATCATTTAATTTCCATATCATTATAAGCCTCTTAAAATGTCCATTTTAAGTACATTATGGCAAATCTTTTTAAAATAGTGGCATTGGGATCTTAAGAAACTCTTTTCTCACCTCTTTATACAATTGAAATTTATTTAATTGTTGCTGCCTCCTTTCTATAGCTTTTTCTTTGGGTATTGTTTTTATCATTTCAATCAATTTAACAATTTGATGCAATCAGATAATTCTTTCCTAAAGTTTGACTTAGAGGTTAGCATTTTACCCAAAAAGCTACAGGGTAGTCTCTAAATTAGAATTTATCTTTTCAATTCCATAGGGACCAAGGTATTTGTTGGTAGAACTGAAGAGATCTAATAACCAGAACAAAATGTTCTGGCTTCTTGAGAAACAATCTTCATGGAATTTATTCCAGCTTTTCTTCCAAAGGTGTAATGGCCCCCTTCCTTAGGTCAATTTTGACACTTCTCTATCAAGTTTTCAGAAATGTAATGAGTTCTTGCTGCTTCTGTTGTATATGTGTTAGTGATAGGGGATTGTTCAGTATCTTCTTAGATAATATCATTGGAATATTTTTCAAACTGTGACTAAAATGTCTTTGGCATTTTCCATTTTATGCCCTCCCTGTCTTCTGTATCTGTAAGGAATGGACGTGACATTAAGACTTTTCCATAGAACACATGAGTAAGGATTAAATAACAAACTATATGAAATCCTTGATAGCCCTGAACAAGCATCTAAAGGGCATCTAAAGAATTATTCTACTCCATCTTTAATAAGTCATGGTAAAAACTATGGGTAGGTAAGTTTATGACTGTATTTTAATGTTTAGGAATATCATTAAGATTGTCACACTTTGAACAGGCTCACAAAATAATCTTCAACTTGTTAGTACTTTGATTTTTTTTGAAAACAGAAATTCTAAAAATCACTTATGGGATATCTGGTGTTTGGGGGATGATGTCTGAAGTGAATCTGTTCTGTTGGCCTCAACCCCACATCAGACTCATCGGAGTCTGCATCTCTTTTTCTTTTTCTGCACATCTACTTTTGTTTCTTCCTAAGTGACCAGTAATGTAGGAAGCAACTTTTAGCTCCCCTATAGAGTTATAAACCTGTAAAGGAGGCTTAACATTCACATTAATTTGCAGAAAGGTGCTTATGAAAATTCAGAGACTTGGCAGGCTTTGGAAGACGTTTATATAACATTAAAGAATGCTCTCTTCTCTAAATGATTTGATCATTTTAACAGTATAGATTAACCCACAGGATTTCTAGTAGAGATTTTTATTTGAATAGAATGGCAATAAAACAAATTACTAAGGTGACTGTAATGATATGTATATATAAACTTACAAATGCCATATTATTTTGCTTGTAGGTATCATGACATGATTCTAGTTCTGCACCTCCTTAACTATTCTTATTTTTATTTTTTTTAGAACACTGATATTTGCATTTAATGGGGAATAAAAGATGAAGAAGGAAAAAGAATATATTCACTAAGGATTATATCTGCTTACTGCTACAGACCTATGTTTTAAGGAATTATCCTCCTTTTTGCTTAGAAGTTCATCAGCTCTGTGGTCAGACTGCATTTATCTTGTCATTGCCAAAAGAAATCCTCATCAGAATGTAAGAGTATGTCTCTCTCTCAGTGCTATGGAAGGTGATAAACTGATACTCAGTTATTAAAGTTACATCTCACCGCAGAAAACAATTCTTCAAAGTGAATAGAAACCAAGCCCTTGTGAACACTTCTATTGAACATGACTCATGGAGAAGAGCTTGGCTCTGATGTGCACCAGGATTCTATTGTTTTAACTTACCTAGAAGGATTACTAATGCATCAGGCAGCAGGGGGATCAGGTACTGCCATTGACAAAAAGTCTGCTGGGCATAATGAAGAGGATCAGAACTTTAACATTTCTGGCAGTGCATTTCCCACCTGTCAAAGTAATTGTCCAGTTCTCAATACACACACATATCAGGGATCTGGCATGCTGCATCTCAAAAAAGCCAGACTGTTGCAGTCTTCCGAGGACTGGAATGCAGCAAAGCGGAAGAGGCTGTCTGATTCTATCGTAAATTTAAACGTAAAGAAGGAAGCTTTGCTGGCTGGCATGGTTGACAATGTGCCTAAAGGCAAACAGGATAGCACATTACTGGCCTCTTTGCTTCAGTCATTCAGCTCTAGGCTGCAGACTGTTGCTCTGTCACAACAAATTAGGCAGAGCCTCAAGGAGCAAGGATATGCCCTCAGTCATGATTCTTTAAAAGTGGAGAAGGATTTAAGGTGCTATGGTGTTGCATCAAGTCACTTAAAAACTTTGTTGAAGAAAAGTAAAGTTAAAGATCAAAAGACTGACACGAATCTTCCTGACGTGACTAAAAACCTAATCAGAGATAGGTTTGCCGAGTCTCCTCATCATGTTGGACAAAGTGGAACAAAGGTCATGAGTGAACCATTGTCATGTGCTGCAAGATTACAGGCTGTTGCAAGCATGGTGGAAAAAAGGGCTAGTCCTGCCACTTCACCTAAACCTAGTGTTGCTTGTAGCCAACTGGCATTACTTCTTTCAAGTGAAGCCCATTTGCAGCAGTATTCTCGAGAACATGCTTTAAAAACACAAAATGCAAATCAAGCTGCAAGTGAAAGACTTGCTGCTATGGCCAGATTGCAAGAAAATGGCCAGAAGGATGTTGGCAGTTTCCAGCTCTCAAAAGGAATGTCAAGCCATCTTAATGGTCAGGCAAGAACATCATCAAGCAAACTGATGGCTAGCAAAAGTAATGCTGCAACATTTCAAAATCCAATGGGTATCATTCCTTCTTCCCCTAAAAATGCAGGTTATAAGAACTCACTAGAAAGAAACAATGTAAAACAAGCTCCTAACAATAGTTTGCTTTTACATCTTCTTAAAAGCCAGACTATACCTAAGCCAGTGAATGGACATAGTCACAGTGAGAGAGGAAGCATTTTTGAGGAAAGTAGTACGCCTACAACTATTGATGAATATTCAGATAACAATCCTAGTTTTACAGATGACAGCAGTGGTGATGAAAGTTCTTACTCCAACTGCGTTCCCATAGACTTGTCTTGCAAACACCGAGTTGAAAAATCAGAATCTGACCAACCTGTTTCTTTGGATAACTTTACTCAATCCTTGCTGAACACTTGGGATCCAAAAGTCCCAGATGTAGATATTAAAGAAGATCAAGATACCTCAAAGAATTCTAAGCTAAACTCACACCAGAAAGTAACACTTCTTCAATTGCTACTTGGCCATAAGAATGAAGAAAATGTAGAAAAAAACGCCAGCCCTCAGGGAGTACACAATGAGGTAACCAAGTTCAATACACAGAATTATTCAAGGACTTCTGTGATAGAAAGCCCCAGTACAAATCGGACTACTCCAGTGAGCACTCCACCATTACTTACATCAACCAAAGCGGAGTCTCCCATCAATCTCTCTCAACACTCTCTGGTTATTAAATGGAATTCCCCACCATATGCCTGCAGTACTCCATCTGAAAAGCTAACAAATACTACATCTAACCACTCAATGGACCTTACAAAAAGCAAAGAACCGCCAGGAGAGAAACCAGCCCACAGTGAAGGTGCACAAAACTCTGCAACTTTTAGTGCCAGTAAGCTGTTACAGAATTTAGCACAATGTGGAATGCAGTCTTCTGTGTCAGTGGAAGAGCAGAGATCTAGCCAACAGCTGTTAACTGTAAACACAGATAAACCGATAGGTATGATTGATAGATTAAATAGCCCTTTGCTCTCAAGTAAAACAAATGTGGTTGAAGAAAATAAAGGATTTAGTAGTCAACCAACAGTTCCAGAACCAGGACTTTCTGGTTCTGAAATAGAAAATCTGCTTGAAAGACGTACTGTCCTCCAGTTGCTCCTGGGAAACCCCAACAAAGGTAAGAGTGAAAAGAAAGAGAAAACTCCCTTAAGAGATGAAAGTACTCAGGAACACTCAGAGAGAGCTTTAAGTGAACAAATATTGATGGTGAAAATAAAGTCTGAGCCTTGTGATGACTTACAAATTCCTCATACAAATGTGCACTTGAGCCATGATACTAAGAGTGTGCCATTCTTGGGTATGGCTCCTGCTTTGCAAAGAAGCACACCTGCCTTACCAGTGTCCGAGGACTTTAAATCGGAGCCTGTTTCACCTCAGGATTTTTCTTTCTCAAAGAATGGTCTGTTAAGTCGATTGCTAAGACAGAATCAAGATAGTTACCTGGCAGATGATTCAGACAAGAGTCACAGAAATAATGAAATGTCACTTCTAGAATCAAAGAATCTTTGCATGGTCCCTAAGAAAAGGAAGCTTTATACTGAGCCATTAGAAAATCCATTTAAAAAGATGAAGAACAACATTGTTGATGCTGCAAACAATCACAGTGCCCCGGAAGTACTGTATGGGTACCAGGAAGAGCTGAAATTGAGCAGAAATGATCTTGAATTTAAATATCCTGCTGGTCACAGCTCAGCCAGCGAAAGTGAACAAAGGAGTTGGGCCAGAGAGAGCAAAAGCTTCAATGTTCTGAAACAGCTGCTTCTCTCGGAAAACTGTGTGCGAGATCTGTCCCCGCACAGAAGTAACTCTGTCACCGACAGTAAAAAGAAAGGACACAAAAATAATGTGACCAACAGCAAACCTGAATTTAGCATTTCTTCGTTAAATGGACTGATGTACAGTTCCAGTCAGCCCAACAGTTGCATGGATAGCAGGACATTTTCATACCCAGGAGTAGTAAGAACTCCTGTGAGTCCTACTTTCCCTGAGCACTTGGGCTGTGCAGGGTCTAGACCAGAATCTGGGCTTTTGAATGGGTGTTCCATGCCCAGTGAGAAAGGACCCATTAAGTGGGTTATCACTGATGTGGAGAAGAATGAGTATGAAAAAGATTCTCCAAGACTGACCAAAACCAACCCAATACTATATTATATGCTCCAGAAAGGAGGCAATTCTGTTACCAGTCGAGAAACACAAGACAAAGACATTTGGAGGGAGCCTTCATCTGCTGAAAGTGTCTCACAGGTCACAATCAAAGAAGAGTTACTTCCTACTGCAGAAACGAAAGCTTCTTTCTTTAATTTAAGAAGCCCTTACAATAGCCATATAGGAAATAATGCTTCTCGCCCACACAGCACGAATGGAGAAGTTTATGGACTTCTGGGAAACATGCTAACAATAAAAAAAGAATCAGAATAAAATGTACCTGCCATCCAGTTTTGGATCTTTTTAAACTAATGAGTATGAACTTGAGATCTGTATAAATAAGAGCATGATTTGAGAAAAGCATGGTATAATTGAAACTTTTTCATTTTGAAAAGTATTGGTTACTGGTGATGTTTAAATATGCATACTAACTTTTGCTTAACATTAGATGTCATGAGGAAACTACTGAACTAGCAATTGGTTGTTTAACACTTCTGTATGCATCAGGTAACAACTGTGAGTAGCCTATGAATGAAATTCTTTTATAAACATAAATAATAGGCATAAATTAAAATGTAAAATTCCATTCATAGTGGATTAATGCATTTTGCTGCCTTTATTTAGGGTACTTTAGTTTGCATTTCAGAAGTCAGCCTACATAACACATTTTTTAAAGTCCAAACTGTTAAACAAGTCTTTAAAGGATAATTATCCAATAAAAAAAAAGCCTACTGCTGATTCACAGCTTATTATCCAATTCAAAACCAAATTAGAAAAATATATGGTTACATTTTTCACTTTTGCTAAAAAAAAAAAAAAGTGTTTATTTTTAACTCTTGGAAGAGGTTTTTTTGGTTCCCAATGTGTCTGTCCCACCCTGGTCCTTTTCAATATATATTTCTTTAAACCTTGTACTACTTAGTAAAAATTGATTACAATTGAGGGAAGTTTGATAGAACCTTTAAAAAAGGCAGATTTCCATTTTTTGTATTTTAACTACTTTACTAAAACTCCTCGTTTTACAGAATTAGAAAAGTTAACATTTATCTCTAGGTGGTTTCCTGAATAGTTCAATATTTAAGAAATTGTTTTTAACAGAAGCAAAATGGCTTTTCTTTGGACAGTTTTCACCATCTCTTGTAAAAGTTAATTCTCACCATTCCAGTGGTACCTGCAAGTCTTATGACCAGGATTCCTTAAAGCTGAACTCAGACCACTTGCATTAGAACCATCTGGAGCATTTGTTTTAAAATGCAGATTCATAGGCAGCATCTCAGATCTACAGAACAAGAATCTCTGCTAAGTGGACCTGGAATCTTCCATCTGCATCTTAACACGCTCCCTAGGTGTTTCTTCTGCACCTTGATCTTTGAGAACCTTGGCTGATGACTTTCCTCAGAACATGAGAGACTGTAAAACAAAAGCAAAAACTATCTGATGCCTCTATTTTCCCCAGTACAGTCACATCAGCTCAAAATTTGCAATATTGTGGTTCATATATTACCGTGATGTCTTTGGAAATCGGGTTCAGAATACTTTTTATGACAAAAAAATTGGGTGGAGGGGACAACTTTCATATCTGGCTCAACATCTCAGGAAAATCTGTGATTATTTATGTGTTCTAATGAGTAACATCTACTTAGTTAGCCTTAGGGATGGAAAAACAGGGCCACTTACCAAACTCAGGTGATTCCAGGATGGTCTGGAAACTTCTCCTGAATACATCCTTAACCTTTATTAAAACCATTGTCCTAAGAACAATGCTAACAAAGGTTACAACATTTAGTTCAAACCCAAGAAAGGCACTAAACTCAGATTGACTAAACAAAAAGTACAAAGGGCACATATTCATGACAGAATTATACACAATCGCTCCATGGGACGTATTATTTTAAAATAGTAATGAAAAATAAATGTTGATACTGTCTTAGAAGAACTTAATGTATTATTGAAGCCACATGGGGTTTCAAATTTGAAACAAGTCTCTTTTTATGTTCAGTTTGTACAATTCACAATTCATTCACCAGATACTTTATTTTTAATTGTGAACCAGGTTAGCAAATGACCTCTCAAAAATTATTCTATAATCACTATTAGTTAGAAGGAAATTGATTTAAAATTGTTCTACTTGAAGTGGTTTCTAAGATTTTTATATTAAAATTGGGTGTGATTTCCTATTATGATCTAAAACCCTAAATGGTTATTTTTCCTCAGAATGATTTGTAAATAGCTACTGGAAATAAGAGTGGGTACTATGCAGCATCATGGAAAAGTGAAGGAGGCATAGGCTTATTCTGACATAAAATTTCACGGGCCAGTTGAATATATTCTACTCCATGTCCATACTGTGACAATCTTACTGTCAACACTATATAAATAAGCTTTTAAGCAAGTCATTTTTCTTGATCATTGTGAAAAGTCTGGAGCCTTAGAGGTATGTCAGAAAAATATGTTGGTATTCTCCCTTGGGTAGGGGAAAATGGCCTTTTTACAAGAGAGTGAAATTTAGGTCAGAGAAAAGACCATCAAGGGCCAGCATTGCTATTTTTTCTTTTTGTGGATTTTGTTTTGTTTTTTGGTTGGTTGTTTTCATTTGTTAACAATTAAAGGAATGAGAATATGTAATACTTAAATAAATATGACCACAAAGAATGCTGTTCTGATTTACTAGAGAATGTCCCCAATTTGAATTTAGGGTGATTTAAAGAACAGTGAGAAAGGGCATACATCCACAGATTCACTTTGTTTATGCATATGTAGATATAAGGATGCACATATACACATTTTCAAGGACTATTTTAGATATCTAGACAATTTCTTCTAATAAAGTCGTTTGTGAAAGGGTACTAAAGCTCTCATCGACATCAGTAAGGTAGCATTCATTACCTGTTTATTCTCTGCTGCATCTTACAGAAGAGTAAACTGGTGAGAGTATATATTTTATATATATATATAATATGTATATATATATATTGACTTGTTACATGAAGATGTTAAAATCAGTTTTTAAAGGTGATGTAAATAGTGATTTCCTTAATGAAAAATACATATTTTGTATTGTTCTAATGCAACAGAAAAGCCTTTTAATCTCTTTGGTTCCTGTATATTCCATGTATAAGTGTAAATATAATCAGACAGGTTTAAAAGTTGTGCATGTATGTATACAGTTGCAAGTCTGGACAAATGTATAGAATAAACCTTTTATTTAAGTTGTGATTACCTGCTGCATGAAAAGTGCATGGGGGACCCTGTGCATCTGTGCATTTGGCAAAATGTCTTAACAAATCAGATCAGATGTTCATCCCAACACGACAGTATTCCATTTCTGGACATGACGTCTGTGGTTTAAGCTTTGTGAAAGAATGTGCTTTGAATCCAAGGGTCTTAAACAATTTTTTTAAATCAAGCCAACCACTTTTAAACATAAAGAATTCACGCAACTACTTTCATGAATTTTTTAATCCCATTGCAGACATTATTCCAAGAGTATCCTGGTATTAGCAATGCTGGAATACAGGCACATTACCATTCATAGTAAGAATTCCAGTGTTTACACAACCAAGTTGGATGCGATCTGCTCAGTAATATAATTTGTCATTTTTATTAGAAATTGACTTCATGTGATGTCATGAAACTGTACATACTGCAGTGTGAATTTTTTTGTTTTGTTTTTAATCTTTTAGTGTTTACTTCCTGCAGTGAATTTGAATAAATGAGAAAAAAATGCATTGTCTCTGGTTTGAAATGACTGTTATTTTGTGGGCTTTCTCTGTTTTTTAGGTTTTCCATAAACATAAAACCCATTTCTATGAATACAACAGTGATGTTCAAGGATGTTTTGCCCTTGCCAAAAAATAAAGGGGACAAAAAAGAAGGTGGCTAGCAAGTTAGTGCACTAAAAAAAGAGTAATTAAGAAATAACTCAAAATGACAACCAGCCTTTCACCTCTCTCCCATGATTCAGTGTGTAACTAGTTGATTACTGTAAATTTTTAAACTAGAATATAATTTGTGCAGCATTCAAATTTAATGTTGACTATTCATATATACATACACACTTCATTTTAAGATATGACTTTATCAGAAGGCTTTTATCCAATTTTTGATGGGTGTTGTATTTAAAATAAAAGAAAAAAGGAGTTTAACGCTTTCCCAAAAATGAATGTGTATGTACGTACCTATGTGTATGTATTTAAACATATACTATATATGTATAGGTCATGAGTAATTGGTAAGCAACATGCATACGTAGTAAGTATTGGACCAGTGGAGTCCAAGAAAAAAATTCCTTTGTATCCTTGTAAATTTATGGCTTAGGCATTTTTATTTTTACAAATAATGGTAATTTATGAGAAAGACATTTTCCCAAAGAGAAGTTCTGTTTCCTGGGACCCAAATAGGTCTATTGTAATCCATGCAGCTTCTCTATTAATAAGTTTATAAATATCTAAAAATGTTTAAGTAATAGGAATACTTCCTGCTGTTCTACATTATTAAAATGCTGAAAAATTGCATCTTGCTATTTATGTAGATGCTGACATCAGAATGAGACATGCACAACCATGTCTGCTTTATTTATTTATATGGTGAAAAGGCATGACAAGCGCATCAAGTAGTGAATTGTCCAGGAGAGATTTGTATGAAGAGAAGCACCAATTAGCTATTCTTGATTATTAAATTGTGTCCATGACTTTAATATGGAGGCTCTTTAAAAATTAATTCCAATTAAAATCCCTCATACTATGTAAGGTTCTGCTTCAAGCTTGTTAGTGTGGAAAATCAACAACAAAAGTGATTTTGAAATTTATTTTCCTACCACTAGTATCACTAAACTAAGACCTGTTTGACTATAGAAAATTAATAATTGATCATTATTAAGCATACTGGCAATTTTTTTGTTTATTCCATAAAGCTTGTATTGAATACAAGCTTGTATCACCTTATAAGGGCTGGTAGAGGAAGCTATTGACATCATCTAGCATTCATTTAATACTCCCAAAGCTCTATAAGCGATTGGTACAACAATATTTACAACATTTTTCTGATTCTGTCTTCATAAATAAGTTGAAAACTTCCAGTCTAAAAAACAAAATTTATGTACTTGAGTTGGAAGCAGAATAATAGGATATACAGTCCCATAAATTCCAGTTCTGGGCAGGTGCTACTGCACTTTTGATGTCTTCTTATAAGTGTCTAAAAGTATATAACCCTTTTAATCAATAAACCGAATTTTGAAATAGTATACCTTTGCAGTCAGAAGAGAATTTTGAGACATTCAAAAATCTTTTACAGACTTCGTGTTGACACGAAGTCCCAGACAACCTTCTCTTCTGCCTTTATTGCCTTTACCAAACTTAATTGGTATGTGTTCCAAACCTTAAGAAAAGCTGCAGTCCTTTTGGAATATTCATTTTCCTCACTTTAGCTGATAAACATTCACCTCTGAGGTCACATCTGGAAAAGAAATGACCTAACATTTTATAGTTGTTATGGCCCACATTTTTGGAAAGCTACATGAATAATGCCACATGGTAGTGCCACAGTGCAGGCACAGTACATTGTCTTAGAGCGTATTGTCCCTTAGCTAATTGATATAATAATCCAAGGATAGAACCATGGGGTAATTTTCTTATAATTGAAAAACCAATTTTCTCTAAAGGCCGAAGAGTTGCCTCTGACAAACATTAATAGCTAATCTTTCCACAAGCAGGCATCAAGACCTTAAAAGACTTTTAGCACCACGTTGGATGTACCAGCTAGCCTCGTTATATTTTGCGCTGTGCGTTGCCCTTTTGCCCCCTGCCCGTGTCTTGTGAGTCTTGTCATGTTCTTGTTTGATTCACAGTAGCATCTTTGAAAATATAGACATGCATAGGTAAAACTTTTGAGAACACTGGGAGAGAACCTGTTTCTCTCTCCATCATTTTGTAATCACTTTCAAAAGCCATAGTTGTAATGCAAAGCTTAGCCACTGCCAGACTTCTAAATCATGGCTTTCTCCTTTTAATTACTTTTCTTTTGGGGGGGGAATTATCCATTAAAAAAGCATTTCGAGTGCTGATACCCTAATGTGGATAAAAACAAGGGCTCAGTCCAGTCTGTGGGAGAGAGTAAAGTACAGGAATAAAACCAGTGGGGTAAATGCCATAACACACACTGATCAATAAACTTTACATCTCTAGTGAAGGCCTTTCTCTCCCTTTTCCCTAATTGTTTTCCTCTGACAAATATTTTTTCTCACAAGGCCATGCCTTTGGGTTTGCTACCTCCTTTCACATCCCTGACCCCACGTCAACATAGAAAGTGTTTCTTTAAAATTGCAGTGACCTTTCCCTATGTCCATCAAAATCTGGGTTTTTATCCATAGGGCTCTTTGCTCTCTTCCTGCTTTTCCAAGGTCAGTTGACAAATGTGGGGGGAAATTTTTCTTCCATTCCCCACCCCCAGCAACATCCACAGAGATTTTTATCTCCTAAGTGGAGTAAAAAATGGGGACTTGACACATGCCTAAGCTCGGGGTAGTCTGACCAGAGGGTAGATTAATTTAGGGCTTCATGGGCTCAAGCATGATCACCTGCTCTTACCCACACCTTCAACTCCATAATTAAATCTACTATCTCATTTTTCATAGTTCTCTGCTAATAAAGATAATCATGATAATCTTTCCAAAGTGAGCAGCAGGGATGGGCTTTTAGATCCCTTTGGAATTGCTTGCATCCCAGAGAATTTTGTGCCCTTACTATGAAAATCCGGTTTACCTGCCAAAGAATAGATAACCCTCTGAAGGGGAGATTTCCTGCTTGTGGTTCACTCTAGAAATGCCTGTTCTGGGGAGACTGAGATGCCTAAGGGTGAAGTTCCGGTCTACTTTGACTATTGTGGGTGAGATATACCAAGAAGGTAACAATCAAAGATCACTCAGAAAACAGGGAGGCCTGAGTCAGAAACAGCAACTCCTACTACTTGCATTTCTGGCCTAGGCAAACCATTGACCCATTTTTCTCTTTAGTTTTCAAAACCTAGTGTCTCCTAGTTCTCTTCTTAATGCTAATTTCATCTGGTCTCATAACAGATTCCTTTTCCCATAACTGTCTATGTTCCACCTTACAACTGTCTCTTCTTTCATTACATCTTCAGTAGAAACAGCCATCCCTATAACTACAAACACCCCATACTTTTTCCAAGTTTCTTCTAATTGTCTAGTTGTCCTCTGTTTCCTACCACTCATGGATATCCAGCTTGTCGATCTATTAGTATCTAAACTTCAACATGCCCCAATCTTGAATTCAATATACAGTCATTCTCCCCAATTTGTTCTTCCATACCTTTGTAGGAAGTATGCTTATTTCTAAAAATGTTGGTCCCCAGCGGACTCTTCTTAGGGTAGCCACTATTATTTTGTAGACTTTCCCAATTTGTAGCTTACAACCAATAAGTTTTGTCTTAACCCAGAGCCTCCCCCCTCCCCAGTTGTAATAGCCACCATTACTAGAGCAATCATTCTGAAATACATATCTTCTGTTAAATCTGCTTAAAAATCCTCTGGTGACTTTATTCCTTATGAAATTGCACACTCACGTCTATAGGGGCTTGGGGGGAGTAGTAAAGTATGTAAGGCTTTTGGCGGAATAGCTTAGGAAGGGGTGAATCTACCTTAAATGGAGGAGCTAAAGCTATTCTAATTCAAATATTTTTTAAAAAAGAAAAATCCATGTGTTAGCCAAACAAAAGTGGCATAACTACTGGTGTCCAGTGTGAGTTCATGGGGTTAATTCTGTGTCCTCCAAGCTCCTTTGACCTCTGGCTCTGCCTGCATTTTCACCTTTTCAACTCGTTCTCCTACCCTCTAACACCATTCTGCGAATCATCAGCAATCACTCCATGTTCAAACATTCCCCAATAAGAACTCACTATTTCCTGAGTGCTCCTGCTATCTTGGCATCAGTGCATTCAGTCACGTAATATTCTCTGCCTAAAATACCTCCTTCCTTTGCTCATTCTGAACCTAGTAAACTCCTATTCACCTCTCCAACCTAACACATTTACTTCCTCAAAGAATCCCTCCCTCACTAATTCACTATTGCAGGACAGAGTGTGTTTCTCAGCCCTTTGCAATGCCAAAGGCTTATTGCACTTATTACAATGGTTAACAACATATGTAACTTTGTATTCCTTCTAAAGGCAAGAAAGTATATCTTCTTAATCTTACATTCAGTGAGTGCCTAGTACATATCTTTTTTTCTCTTACTTTTCTTTTCTTTTCCTTTTTTTTTGAGACAGTCTTGCTTTGTCCCCCAGGCTGGAGTGCGGTGGTGCGATCTCGGCTCACTGCAACCTTCACCTCCTGAGTTCAAGCGCTTCTCCTGCCTCAGCCTCCCGAGTAGCTGGGATTACAAGCATGTGCCACCATGCCCAGCTCTGACCTCAAGTGATCTGCCCACCTCGGCTCCCCAAAATGCTAGAATTACAGGTGTGAGCCACCTGGTACTTGTCTTGATACATAGCAGTTACTCAATAAATGTATGCCAAATGAGGGAATGAATGAAAGGTGATTTCAAACAAAAAATGATAGGCTCTCCTCCTTGTCTGGAAGGAAACTAAATAATGTATAAGGTAGGGATGCAACCACTTATCTGAGGCAAGTCCCAGCCCCCCCAGCCACCTCTAGCCTAGGGCTCATGGTCTATCTGGGCCAGGTCAGACAGTCTCCCTTCTGCCTTCTCAAATCTCCTG